GGCGGCGAGGGCGGTGACGACCTGCTGCTGCTGCCTTCAGAGCCGCTGCTGATTGTCTTCTATTCATCCTCCAGCTCTCTGCTCCCCTCTGGATCTCTCCTAGCTCAGAGAGCAACTTCACTTCTCTTAAAACTGAGGCTTTGTTCTGTTTCCCTGACGATGTTTTCCTTCCTCTCCATTGCAGACAGACTGTGGCTGATTCTTTAAATGTTTCCTGACAGGAGTCAAGGAACCCACTTTTGTAAATGGTAATTTCAATCCATGTAACATCCTTTTAGTGTTATTCTAATTATTGAACACACATATCAGTCTAACCTCTTTTAATGTGATGGCTGGCTCTCTGGTGAGGTGTCTGGTGTCAGATGGTAGTGATGACGAGGACAGATATCACTAATACTTAGATTGGAGCAGCCAGGCAAAGTGGCAAAGTGGATATGAATAAGAAAGCTCTGTTGGTGTCATTTCTCATACGACACAGCAGGGTTTTGTGAGCGGAGATGGTGCAGCCAGCTGATGTGACAGATCCCATTTTAGACTATTTGTACTGTCAAAGCTCTGCAGTGTCAAAGGGAGCTGGTATCACTGTGCAGATAGCGTTAGCAGATAACACTGAATTTGGGGACATGGCTGTGATAGTGACTGTCAGAGAGGCTCACACAGCACTGGTTTATCATTGAACTATATTTTGTACAGTTTTGAAATGATAACGGTGAATAGACTATATTTATAGCACTTTTCCAGTCTTACAATCACATAAAGCTTTTTACAGTACAAGTCACATTAACACACACTTTTTCTATCACACACTATTCATAGACTGTTGGCAAAGCTGTCAGGGGCAACTTCGGGTTCAGTAGCTTGCCCAAGGACACTTCGGTAGAATCCTCTGACCTTCTGGGTATAGTGGAGAACCCTCTCTACCTCCTAAGCCGCAGCTACCTTCTTTACTGTATCCACCCCCTATTCAAACATGGTTCCAAAAAGGTTCAGCAGCATTTGTTCTTCTGATATTTAGCAAGATTTTACAAAATATTGCATACTGAATTTTCTTTGGTTGGTACATACAACATTGTGCTTAAATACAAGAAGCCCAATAAGCAGTAGAATAGAATCACAAAACCCCTCAGAGATAGATGTTATCTTCAGTATATGAGCCTTGTGAATGTAGAATCTGAAAGTGTTTAATGTTTGTGGGTATGACATTTTGTCATATATTCTATTTAAAATATCCTGAGAAAACCCAGAGACCTGAAATATGACCACTAGGTGTCAGTATGGACCCATGATTCAATCTAAGACCAAACAACCTCTAGAGAACATAAAGACAAACGAGCATCCAAGTCTGAGATATCATCCACTGCAGCATGTAAAATAGAATATCAGTCACACGCTGCCATACATGAGAGACAATTATAAAGTAGTTCTATGTAAATGTCTCTCTGTAAGTGACTTCACAGTGAAGCAAGGACAGAGTCCCAATGAAGGGACTGAAATACAGGTGGCTGTCTTTGTCCTGAATATGTAGTTTCTTTAAAATTAAAAGTTGGTTGTGTGAGTAAATGAGGATGTGACGGTGTTTGATCTGTTGAGAAAGTTCTGGTGGGAAACCTTTTTCTGTTGTCCGTCCGATTCCTGGTCTTTGTGTGTGTGGTCCAGGTATTCCTCATGGTGTGGGGACCCAAATCTACTAACACCATCACATTATGGTGACATGTCTTCCTAATGGGGACAAAAGCAAGTCCCTACAATGTAAATCATAACATTTTCTGGTGAAGACATGTTTTAAGGTTTAGGTTAAAGGTTCAGTGTGTAGAATTTAGAGACATCTAGAGGTGAAGTGTCATGTTGCAGCTGAATACTAGGTATTAGTTTGTTCAGTATGGACGACAGTAAAAAACATGGCGGCCTCCAGAGAGAGGACCCCCCTCCATGTAAATATAAAGTTTTTAAATATAAAGGGTCCATTCTATGGTAGAGACAACAACAATTCATACAATTTAGATGAAACACACCAGTAAAAACATCACTAAGATTATTTCATATTCAATTTCTGCCAAAAAATCCCTTTCACCTAAATCTTACACACTGAACCTTTAAGCAACTAGTAACTGCACTTAATGTTAAGGAAATCAATGTAAGTCAATGTTATGTCCCCTGTAGTCATGGAGATACAACTTTGTGTGTGTGTGTGTGTGTAAGGCTGAGCATCCTACAGCCTCCAGGGAGACCAACATACTGAACATCATGTTGGGCTTCAGTCCTGATCTTTTTCATGGTTTGAATATTATAATTAAGACAATTTGAAAACAAAACAGCTAAACCAGAAACTCAGTCATAATTTTACTGTTTATAATTATTTTCTTTTGCGAGTCATCATCTGTCTGACCTGGAGATTTGCCTCCATCCTGTCTCCTCATCTGACTGTTTGTGTTTCTTGACCCATACAGTTTCATATGATCTGGGAAGATGATGGATGCAGAACAAAATGACGATGACGACTTACCTTTGGACAAAAATGTGGCTTTTATTCTGAAGCCTTGGTTTTCTCTTCAGTGTGAAAGGTCAAATTAAAGAAACACAGCTACACCCTTTCAGTAAGAAAAGTCACAGCACATCAATGTGAGGCCAACCTCCTCCAATCCTCTGAATTTATTATGTAAAAGTCAGCTGAAATTCATGCATTAAATTTCAAACCGCGGCCCCTCTAAAACTTTTAATAGCCTATCCGATAAGAGGAATGGTGTCGTGGGACCTTCATTAAAGTGAGTTTAAGGGATGGCTCCACCAGGGACAGTCAGACAACCAGGGGACTGATAAACTGGGTGCTCTGCTCTCATTTCATTTAGAGTCAGGTCAGCCTGATGTCCCCTTAGCCTCAAGTGTCCCAGCAGCGCACACAGACACACACACACACAGAGGAATACAGGTACAAACAGGCATAAGAGGAAATAAAACGCTAAATGAAACTCAAGTGAAAAAGTGGTGTTCACTCAGTGATGAATGACTCCTGGATACAGCAATTTAAAAAACTCATTTCTTCCTGTGTGGTCACTTATAAGTTATGGGTGTAATAATGTGTTGTGGAAAATGTGATGGTTGGCATCTTTAAGCTGCTAACAACAACAAAATCATAACGGCAGTTAAATCCTCAGGGTTTGTTTCATTTTCACATAAAGATCTGAATATATAAAAATTTACACTCTCACTCATTTTATAGGACGTGTCTTGAAAAGTAAATAATGATAATAATTACAATTGCGAGGAAAAATGCAGTTGTATATTCTGGAGACTGTGTATTTAGTGGTATATCCTATTCTATATCCTATAATATATCAATGTATAACGAGTTTAAAAATCCTATCCATGGCAACCACTTCAAGTCAAATTCACCCATTTACACATCATTCACAGCTGCCCAAGTTTAACATTTTTCAAAGTGAAATCTGATTTGAAATAACTCAGCTCAATATAAACATTACAGCAACGAAATACGACAATATCAACCCTGATCATCACACAATGATCGATACTTTTCTTCAATGGGTAAAATCTTTATTCAAAGCTGCGCACGCATTCATCAGCCCCGCTCACTCTCTTTCTCTCACACTCACACACGGAAACAGTGTGAGCGGACATGTGTAAACTGTAAACTGGGTAAAAACAGGAGAATTTGTATGGAGAGCTGGAGGAGGAGGAGGTGGCGGCGCGCTCGGTTTGGCTCGATTCGGTTGGCAGTATGCAGCGTGAGTGATAAAGACACAGAGAGAAGCAGTATATTAATGACAGAGCCAGTAAAAACTCTCAGAAACATATTGTGTATGGTCCAAACATGTATAGAAAGACCCCTAATGAACACCTAAAGTGGATTACCTGACCGCTTTACAGAATTATTCAAACTGAATTTTTATTGGAATGTTTCTGTCCCAAACATTTGATCACTGTATCAGTTCTCTTCCTCTGCTTGCTTGTTGAGCAAGTGTTCACTCTGCGGCAGTCGTTCAGTAGCTGCAGAGGTGTGTCCTGCTGCAGGTGATCATATGTTATATCCTGTGACAACGTTCTAAAATCAACCTTCCTCAATTCATAATCGTATTTGTGTTCAAATTCCTGCTAAAGACAAATGGAGCGACGCTTGCGAGCGAGTTCAGGCAGCCAACTCGAGCTGCGCTGCTCAGATCATCTGACACACACTATGTGACATACCATACTCTTATTAGGCCGTCTATTTAAGCAGAGAAAATTCCCCATCACTCCCTTTGCTTGCCCTGCTGCTGCGTCAGTATTGCTGCCAGTTGCTTCAGCCCCTCCACCTGTAGGCTCTGATAGGGGTTATAAGTATTTGCTCATCACTCCCATCATATCTATGTAATCATATCTGGGGGAGTGATTAAGTCGGAGTGTAGACGCCAAACACAAACCTGTTCTACTGCTGCAATAAACATTTGAATGTGAGTTTTCTGACTGTAATTTGGGAATGTATGTGATTAATACAAATTTCTTTGCTGTTGCTGAGCACCCATGTGTGCACAACACCCTGAAGTACCACTGGTTTAGACTCACAACGAGAATGACCTTGAACCATCGTGACCACCAGGACGCATCTCCCTGTAGAGGCTCAGCAGGGATGGTACCTACTTGATTTGTCTACACATAGCTTCAGTGGAACACTTCTATTCGATGTACATTGTGTGTTAAAATGCACATATGTTTGTAACTCAGGCAGTCTGTTAAAAATCTGTAGTCAAGTGTTGGTAACCCTGATGTCAAAGTGATTTTCCCAGATCCAGACACATTATAACATCGTACAAATGTGACATGTGGCCCTTTAACTTTGAGAGATGGCAAAGCTCTTGGGAATTCTTGCAAGTACAAATACACACAGGTGTAATATTCTGCTTTCTGTGTGTGTGTGTGTGTGTGTGTGTGTGTGTGCGTTTCACATTAAACTGATAATCATAAAGAAAGAAGTGGTGAAACAAAGTAACAGAAGAGTGTTTGACTTTGCTTTTATTCAGGTAGCAGCATCAGTCAGCACTGTCCTACTTACACACCGCAGCTCGTCCCAGTTACACACACACACACACACACACACACGCACGCACACACACCAGCAAACTGAACAGACATGTACAATCAGAAAAACACACACACACACACACACACCTGCATGACTGCACCGAGCCCTTCTGCAGCTCTCCTGTTCAGAGTGAGAGAGTGCTGTCGAGAGAGACAGACAGGGAGGGAGAGAGAGAGAAAAAGATAGAGGGAGAGAGAGGGTGGGGGTGGGGGTACAGGCCTCTAGTTTAACCACACAGTAGAAACCAGTGGCGACGTGTGATGTTTGATGAGCAGATCGAAAGGTCAGGGCTAATTCAAAAATAATGAGCGTGGCTTATTTGTCCATCTAGAAATGAACTCAGCTACTGTTCTCATGAAACTCATCATAGCTCAACAGACATTTATTGACATGATCAGCCTCTGCACACGCACCTGCTCGCACGCACGCACATATTTTCAATGGTGGCGCAGTGGTGCAGTGGGCAGCGCTCTCTCTGGGTGCTCTAGCTTCCTCCCACAGTCCAAAAATGCAGATTTGATGCTGATTGGAGATCGTAGATTAATTCTACATGTGAATGTGAGCTTGAATGGTTGCGATACACTGGTGAACTGTTTGGATGGATGAATGAATTTTCGGATTGGATCACGAATTGCATCACATTTGTAATGATTCTACTTTTTGAAGATTAGAGTGGGAAGAAATGTGTGAGCAGATTGGATTGCTTTTGGAGAAAAGGTATAAATATATAAAACTCCTGCTTCCTTCTACTCTCCTCAGTGTCACTACCTCAGCAGCTGATTCGTGGAAGTTAAATCTTCAGGGGAGCTCCCTCACATTAAAGAGGAACAAAGACACTCTCCAGTATCTTCAAATGTTCTGTGTGGGTGAGGCAGTGTGCCTGGACCCTGGTTTCTATGTTTAAAAACCACGACAGATTCGAATCCTATTTATTTCATTACTTGATCATTTCAATCCCTGTTTCATTTTCTTTCTATAATAAACTTAGTTTAAAGGTTCTTACCTCAACCAAGGTTGTATTTTCATTTCATGTGTCTGCCTGTTAGTGAGCAGGATTACACAAAAACCACTAGATGGATTACCACGAGTGCAGTGGAAGGGTATGGGTCAGGAAAGAAATTATGTGTGAATCTTAATGAGAAACATCCAGACATTGATATTAATTAGATTATAGAATTTGTAATAGATCCAATTAAAAATCTGGATGTAATGGATTTAAATGTGAGGGCTGGCAACTTTTAACTATCACCAACTTGTAGCAAAATGAATAATTTAATTGGATTGTTGGGCTGTGGTTAAAAGTCATGTGCTCGACTGAGTGCAATTTGATTTTTCCACACTGTCACATTTAAAAATAAGATTTTAAAAACCTGTGATATTCCTCCGTGTTGCACTTATTCCTCAAGACTTTGTCCAATAACTTGCTTCATTTATTTTATTAATTATCAGCTCTGTGATGCACTGGCAACTTGTCATGGGAATAACCCCCCCACAACCCAATGTCAGTCCCGTCTAATGAAGTAAAAAAAAAATCTATAACCGGGTGTTATCCTTTTGGCCAATAGAAACACTGTGTTTGAACATAGAGAAGTTCAAACTAGAGGCCAGAGTGAGGAAGAGAGAGTGATAGTGGATCTCCTGAAGAGTTTCAGTTCTCCTTCCTGCCCCCCCCCCCCATTTCCTCCTGACAGTGTATGGAGACTCTACTCCCCTGCTCCACCCAGGAGGATGGTAAACACACTGATAAATGATTCTGACTCTTGGAAAGAAAAGTAAACAGTGAGCTCAGTGACTGGTGCTCCGCTGCGTGCTGCTCAGTGTGGCGGGTGGTAGCTTCACAAACCGACAGTGGGTGTGTGTGCAGATCGCGCTGGCATCAATTTAAAATACAGGGGCTGGGGGGGGCCCTCTGCACCAGCTTCTGTCAGATTCGGTTAATTGTAACAAAACACTGGAAACACTCGCTAGCGGCACGCTCAGGCTAACGTGGAGATACCCTGAATATCAACCGCGTGGACGACCTCCTGCCATCCTTGCACTTAACGTCCCTTGTTATACAAGGAGGGGGATTTATTCTGATCGGTATCAGCTATGGAACAAATCAGACAGCAGCAGATGGTCGGCGGACTGGCTGCTCGACTCAATATCTGAGCACGTGTCACTTGTCAGGAGGAGATTTTCCAAATCTGTGCGGACGTGTTTACTGCTCTGTCTTATCTTTGCCGCTTGCCGGCCATTTGCATTTGAGCTGGGGTGCGCTGTCAGTCAGACCACAGCAGCTTTTTGTTACTTCATGGCACTTGGAAGGCATTCCTCTTTGCAGCGTGCAAACAGAATGTTAAGCTCCCGACGCTTCACATCTTCAGCTCTCCTTAAGCTTTTTGCCAAGCACCACCCTGAAGGGACACACGCACAGTAACACCTTTCATCTACCTGCATGTACACACACAAACACACACACACACACACACACACACACGTACATACAAACATAATGTTACACAAAGCTCACAACTTCGTCACTGCTCTTACAAATATGGCAAGGCATTAAATGTCTTCTGTCCTTTGCCTGTCATCCAACAGTTTCCACATCTGGAGCTCAGGGCTCATACAGCCAGGGCCCGTGCTCAGCTGGTCCGACCCCTTGCAGCCCCACGCTGAGGGTCCGTTCCTTGTAATCCCTCCACCCCCCCCTCCCTCTCCCCCAACACCCCATCCCCTCCACCACACCCCCAGGCTCCAGAGTGTGTTCAGCAGTTCACAGGGGGTGCGAGGGTCAACAGCGGTGGCTAGCTGTTGTTCTCGGCCGTCATGTACTTAAGGGCGGCGAAGCCGTAGCGCCGCGACATGTTCTGCTGGAACTCCTCCTTCAGGGTCTTGAGACAGACCCGGTACTGCTTATTGGAGCGGAACTTGGTGATGTCGAAGCTGGGTGCATGAGGCATGTGGATCATGTAAGCATTGGGCAGAACCACGAACTCGTACTCCTGCGGCAAGAGAAGAGCAAGAAGAACTGTCAGCCAAAACTGCTGAGTAACAAAAATGTACAACCCCTTTGATACAAAGAGCACATATGTGGCATCAGTCGTATCGGAACCGGTTAGTATTTCATTAGAAAAAGAGCAAATGGCAAGACTGAGGGCTTTTTTAAGTGTGAAATATGTTTTCACTCTTTCCTGAGCGACGTTGGCACCTGTGAAAAACAGTGATAGACCGATAATTCAGCCTTTCACCTGAGGTATGTTTGCCCTTTTCCAAAGAAAGTCTCCCAGATGGTTCTGTGTAACAAACCATCTGGAGTGTCAGGTTATATTTTCAATGATGAAATAGCACACTGTCTTACAAATAAACATTTAAACAAGTCTACCTTGGGCGGTTAAATGCACTTAGGGGTTGTGCATTACTTGTTGTCGTCTTACCTCTTCTTGGATGATCATTTGGTTTTTTGTGACTCGTGGCAAACTTTATTTATTGTTGTGTAAAGCCCCTTTTCCACTGCATGGTGCCAGCAAAACCCAACTCTACCCAGTTTTTATTTGTTTTCCATTGGGCAAAGGTAGTAGATACTTCCTGGTACCAGTTACCTTTTTAATATCAACACCACCAAGGTTCCAGGTGAGATGAGATTACACCAGAAGGTGATGTGAAAACTCTGCACTCTACAGAGAGAATCACCACTACTGCACCATCATCGTGCAAGAGGGGATGTTCTGAGCAAACCTTGTGCAGCCCTGTTTAATATCTGTTAGCTATTGTACAATGACCACCAGTCAGTATGCAATTCACATTCATCAGTAATATAATATCATATTGTAGATTAGATTATTTGATGCAGTATTTCTCACTCAGTTTGAATCTCAATGCTGCAAATCATTTAAATCATGAGTCTGTCACTGGTTCACAGTTTAAGGCTACAATCACTGACCTATAAACATCTGTCTCGTAGTTTGATCTACATCTTCAACTGCTGCTGCCAGCAGCACTTTGTCTCCAGCTAAATAAATAAATGTAAACATTGAATCTAACAAACAGTAGGAGTTCAGCACTTCAACATCCATTTTAGAAATTAAATCCTGCTAAACGAAGTGGTCTAGTAAACTATGCTGAATAAAATGTAACAGTGTTGACTAAACTGTTTTCTAAGACTCCCACTCTTCCACTGGTGCTGTTGTTATTTTCAATAAATGGGCATCGTAATGCTTTGACCGAAATGTGAATCGTCTCGGCTTTCAAACTATTGACTATTCACCAAAACAGCACTGATAAACCGCTTTGCTTCTCTTCGGGAGGAAGCAGCGTCAGTAACAGCAGCACCTGACTGTCCTGAGGGAGATGCAGGCGGCGGATGTGGGGCAGCAGAGGCTGATGTGGAGAACAGTGTGAGCGATGTTTACAGATGTTCCTCAGTCGTGGCCGACGAGGAGGGAGGAGACAGCTCCAACTGCATCCTTAAATCAAGCCTGGCAGTCAGACCCCCTGTGCCCCATGCATAAAGTTTGGACTCATTTGTATTTGAACTACATTTAACATATATATTTGCAGCTGCTGCAGGTGCATCAAACTCACTATAACACGTCTCTCTGCAAGACTAAGGCTGCACAGGGCCATGAGGTTACTTTCTGACTGATGCATTCTAAGTCAGAGAATTGTTTCAAGAGCCAGTTCTGTAAGGGATAGGCAGAGACGCTCAGGATGCGGCAGCCAACATTCACTCCACCAGTGATTCTGGTTATGAGCTGCCACTGCTGGGCCAACTCCCCACCATGTGGACATCTACAAAGCACGAGCATCGTGCTAACTCCCAGGCATCCCAGAAAACCTGTTCCGGAAGAGTCCCATTCCATCTACAACACCACGAAGGATGATGCAGTGCCAGCCTTTTCAGTCGAAACAGTCACAGTGGTAGTTCTGATGTGCCAATACGGGGTTGTGTGATCCATCAATGGCACCAATACACTGTGGGAGCCCCCACCTGTTCCCAGTATAGGCAGCCATTTCTTCAAACTTCTTCCAGACTGGGATACAAATGTATTCAGCTACCAACAACGTCCCCCCACAGCCGCAGTGAACTCATTGAAACAGCACTTCTTTGATACCCACCATTGTTTGTGTGTATGTGCAGCGTTGAAGATGACACCCTGATTTGTGTGTCATCACTACTGTCACAATGCCACACTGACTGAATATTCTCTGCCTGGTACCAGTGAGTTGAGGTGAGTCAGTGTATGTGGTGGGAAAAAAACAAGTGGGCTTTGTGAGTTTTTGGCTGCTTTAGGATAAAGATGAAGTTATTACTTGTAATAACCTACAATTTGCAAAATGCAACTACAGGCTACTTGATTAAAATTAAAAAAAAGTACCTCCCATGAAATAGAAAACATTAAATCATGGACTAATTAACACAATTTATTATCTAATAATCGCTTTAGTAAAAGTTTCACATTTTGATTATGTCAAAGATGGATAAAGAAAAGTTTTTAAAAATCAACCTCAACTAAAGTGGAAAACTTTCATTACTGATCCACACACCAGTAACTGTAGTGCACAGTACATCAGTGTGCATATCAGTGTATATCATCACAAACAGACTATTCCCAGATATGCATGATTAAGAGAAACCTTTCCTCTGGATGTATAGTTCATGAGAATAGCTAGATGATGTTCTCCAGCTCAGGAGTGTTCACTTATGATGTTTCTATGGTGAACGAGTACCAATGATCCTGCCCACAGTCAAACACAGCTGAGTTTGAGGGCAGTGGAAGAGTTACACTACACGCAGCTGGTGCAAAAGCCCGTCGGCTCTTTCGCTAGTCATCCCACTTATCTCAGTAGTGATGAGTGGAGAATGGCTGCTGCTGGAAAAGACTAATGAGAGTACAGTCTGTGGGCTCGAACAGCAAAACAACGAGCTGAAAGAACCTGAAGAGCTCAGTCCACCGGTCAGGAAGGAGCATTTATATCAGATTATTTTAGATTTCCTCTTTAAGGTGGTTAGTTATACAGATACACATCTTATTTTGAGGAAACAGCAATCGTATGAACCAGAAACCAAGATTTTTAGCTTAGGGAAAAAAATGATTCACGTTGTGGAGGCAAGTGAGGCTGTGAGGCATGATCAGGCGCCCCTTCATAATGAGATGGCATTTAATTGAATAGGTTATGAACAATTAAGCCAAACCTGGCCTTAGGCAGTTTAATAAAGCTTTAATTTTAGATGTGACTTTTCAACAAGGGCATTATAGATCAGACAAGAGCAGAAGTATGAGGTAAGTTTTTCTGATCATCCAACTTATTGTATTTTTGGCCCAGTCTCATTTCATTTGATCTATTTTCTGTGCATTACCAGATTTTAGCACTTCACTTGGCAGCTACAATGTTCTTATTGCTTTTACAAATGTTGGCAAAAATACGGAGAAGAAATGAGCGCTGCAATAAACCGGAGTGATTCTTAAAATGATATTCAATGACAAGGACGCTGTTTATATTTGTAAGGATTTTCATCTTTCCCCCAAAGCCAGAAAACAAAGATACCAGAAGTGCTTCCTGTGGTAAAGCATAAAGTTGATAGATTAACATTTGGAGAACTAAGCTTTGGTGTCCAGAGAGCATCCCCTGTGTCTGTGGACAAGAATATATTAACTGGAGTAGAATTTACAACAGCATTGCAAAATACCTGGAGATGAGCCATTGGTTGGATTCTTGTCTTTTGTAAAACGTGAGTAAACTTAGGAATAAACTTAATAACTTGTTCTTTAATCACATTTCTGTGGGGTGTTTTATTTTCCTGATGGTCTGAATTCTTATTTTCTGAGCTTTAGAAATATTTATTCACAAGTGCAACAAATTTATGCTAAATATAGATAGATAAGAGTTGGGTACAGTTGTCAGTTACCTGCGCATCCAATTCCATGATGTGAGCCACCTTGTTCCAGCCGAAGCCCACGAAGCGGCGGTCATACTCAGGACTGTCCCGCCTCACCATTACATAGGGCTCAAAGTCTGCCTCCCACTGCACCCTGTAGGGCGTGGTGGCAGTCCGCCATTTGGCAAAGTTAGTCGGTGCGTGGCCTTTGGTCCACACGTGATACCTGGCAGGACAGACAAGAAAAGGTTCTGACTATTGTTGGAGACAGTGTGAACTTTGCTGTTTAGAACGGCATTTCAGTTATGAACCTGTCTTTCTATCACGGGAGTGTTTAAAAATGTAGACTCTATTTGAAGACTTTACCTCACACGGCGGACCAAATGATTTTTGGTGGGAAAAGTCGTGTCTCTGTTGTAAAAACCAGCCCCGAGATTAAAAAAAGTTTTATTGGACTGGCAGATATTACATGGGATGTTACAAAGACATCCACAAAATCTATCTAATCATTTTCTGGATTCAAGATAATGGCAACTGATTCTACAGTTCAGGGTTTGTGTACCGAGTCAAGATCCACTGAGCAGTGGTGGTGCAGCTTCACGATTCTGTGGACTGAATCCTGCAGCCGGTATTTTCTTACTGTGGTTAAATTACTGCAGCTCACATTTGCAGTTTCAGAAATGAAAGCTACAACCAGCATCACCACAGGCGGAGCAAACAGCCCATTCCAAACAGGCATATTTAGAACGGGCACTGCACTCATGTAGTAAACAAGCGAGCCATCTGAGCTAATGAGAGCTAATGACAGATTGTACATTTGCAACAACATTGTTACAGACTCTAGATATGAAACTAGAGCATGAGACTGTATCAAGTTCAACTACCTGTCACAGACACTTTAACCAAGCAGATAGGGCTTAGAAATAAGTTCACCCCATAGAGCAGCGTGGAGCGAGTCTTCACTCTGAGTGGCAAAGGACTGCTCAACTAGGAGAATCACAGTTGCATGAGGAAGCTTTTTGTATTATGAGAACCACCGCCCTCGTCTGCCAGTCCGACATGGAACACTGAAGTGATGCGTTGGCCAAGACAGGCCCACAGTGTCAAGCGCCTTCTGCACCTCGGAGCAAATCTCATCCACTCCTGGAGCCTTGCCACAGAGGCACTTCTTAACTACCTCAGAGACCTTTGCCTCCACCACAGAGGACATTTTGGTTGGGTTTGAGGAATTCCTCAAAGCTTTCCTTCCACCGTCAAATGATACCCTGCTTTCCTTTATCAGCTGCTGGATAGTTTGCTCAAACTTCCATGAGGCAGATTGAATGTTCGGCTTCATGGCCTCCCTGAACTTGCAGGTATCTGCCAACCAGGCATCACTTTGCAGCTTGGTTCGCCTTGGTTTCCTACACAACCTGTGTCCATAGGTGCCTTGTTAGTTGCCACAATGTCGAACACAAACAACCATCCAGTGATCACACTCTCACAAATGTCTTAAAACTGTATCATATTAAGTTTCATTGCATTAAATTAAAATTGTTTTTGTAATTGTCTATTTTTCATGCATGCATGTGCTGTCAGTGTCAACTGTGTAACTGTCCATCATTTCTAAATTCCTATACACAATTTGCTTTTTATGCTTTATTCTACTGTTATATCTATTGCTAATTCAGCATAATTGCAAATTATTCTGTTTCAGTATGGTCCTGAGGGTTAAAACCATATTTGAGTTAATGAACGAAGAAAACAATTCATCAATATAATTGAGTGCTGATTTATGCAACCTCTGCTATGCACTCGGATATGCAAAGAGCTGCAGTTCTGTTGAACCTGTAAGATCTTGAACATTGTCGGCGACAGAAACTGAAAAGTGCTTTTACCTGAAGGTGAAGAGTGTACCCATGTCTAGCTGAGACAGCAGCTCAGCCTTAGACTTTGGGTAGGACAGGCGATATCGCAGCGTCTCAAAGGCTGGAACCACCAGAGCTTTCTTGTTGTTGGCCATGTCTAGCTGCACCACTGACTTCCTATAAACACACACACATGAAGAAATTGTAACCTAAGCAATGTTACTGTATGTACAGCTCCAAAAACTAGAGCTAGTGCTTGGCGGTTGTACACCTCCATCAACCAGTGAAGTTGCAATTTACATCCATGTCTGTCCAGACACGAGTGTTGGACCCTTTTAACATTTTTTCCCGTCTTACCTGAGATATTCATAGAGGCCATACATGGGTAGGAAGTCGATGTCTGAAAGGAACATGTAGGGTGTGTTGACCTGCCGCATGGCCACGTTACGCAGGAGGTTGACTGGGTAGAACTGTCCCTCTTTGTAGACGATGTGGTAACCTACGTTCCCTCGGCTCATCAGCACTTCAGAGCCCTGAGCGTAACGCAGGAACTGCTGGGCCTCAGCGTCGGACAGGTACAGGGCCAGGCTGATGGGGCCTTCCCAGTGCTTACAGATGGCCTCCAACATCTGGAGCCTGCAGCCGATAGGACAGAGGGTGTGTGACATCAAACAAGTATTACTATCCTCCACTATGCATTGGATCAGAGTCAATTTCTTCCCATTTTTTTTTTTTTGGGGGGTGGGGATGTGAGACAATAATGTTTGTGCAAAACAGTTTGGGGAAGCTTAAGGGTTCATAGAAATGTTTGATACACTATAGACAGATTTTGGTTTGTTTTAACATGTAGGCCTACTGAGTTTTCTATTAATCAGTAACTGTGCATTAATTACAACAAATAGTCCTTTGAATGTACAAATGAGCCGCTTGCGAATAGCACAAAAGGCAAAATTAAAAATAGTAGTTTTCAAAATCAACTCTGAGCAGTTCCAAATTGTTTGTTTAGAGTTTGGAAGTGAGATATGTGAGATATGTACTAGTCAGAAATTTGATTTATTTTGTGAAGATATGGAAACAATGAATTACTCAGCCTTAGACTTGATATGTAAATCAGAGTACTTATGTATTTATTTTATATTTCTTCAGTGAAAGAAACTTTCAGACAGCCTCTTACAGGAATACTTGGCTTTTGTTAATTAACCAATATTTACGAACTGTTTTGGTGAGTCTGACACACAATACTCAATAACCATCTAAAGTATTTACTGAGTCCGATACATCTTTTTTTATTTAAGATACTGAAGTGTCTCCTGCTTGATTTGTAAAACCATGTTTTGTTAATCTCATTTCCTTCCAAACTACAGTTTATAATATGGTATTCTATCTAAAGGTGAGATTGTGTAATTTGCTCAGTGTCTGACACTGATTTGGATCTGGGATAGGCCCATGGTGGCTCCGGGGTCTCATTAAAATAAGATGAAGTCTATAGTCAGCTAGGAGCCCCTAGAGGCAGCCATATTTATTATACATACACCACAATAATATATTGCAGAACAGAAGACATAACAAACTGACAGTATTAAATAGGGGCTTAAATTATGTTTGTCCTGAGGGTGACTTAAAATACTATTTAAATCTAAATGTTTATCAACCTGGGAGCATGAAAGAATTTGCATTACATAATTATCTTGTGTAGTGTTTTACATTGTGTGGCACATCAGAAATGCTTGTGGGGTACCTATAATAAAAAGTGCTCATCCTCAGAGGAACATGTGCCAAACAAATTTCGAGCAAACTGAACCTCAGCAGAACATAAAATGGATGGGATAGCCAAAGTTATTAGTGTCCATCCCTTCACTTGAAAGAAAAGCATTTTATTCTGTTGGTTTCATGATTTAATGTAAGTTACAGTTCCCACAGATGAACAATACATTTTCTGTATAATATCTAGATGAAATGATCCCAATGAAACATCCAAAGGAGCAATATGTCTATTTATGTTTTTCTTTTCACTGGTTTTGTATTAGCAGGAATATCCAATTAGTAGTGATAAATGTACTTCTCTCCACTCCAATAACTCTTCACTCTCACTTCAGTGACTGCTGTACAGATTTGATTCTTTGAGCCAGCAATTTAACAGAAGCAAATAAAAGTCATTTCCAGACCCTGACCTTACTAAACAAACCAGAAGCAACATTATGTCTTCTGTTGATGAAGGGATTTAAAAAGGCTGCAGGAGAAACAAATCTGTTGACTCTGAGAATTTTATAGTAATAAATTCTTCTAGTTATCTCAAAAATTCAAGCATCACCTTTACTGTTAGAAAACGTAGAGTAGTACTTTTTAATTTAATTCATTTTAAAACATTCTGCACAGACTTACTTACAACCTGCTTACTTATTGATGCATTTACTGGCATTGACGCCCAATCCACAGGTCATAAGAGCATCATGGGAATTTTCTGTGTCTTTGCTAGCAAATAGACAGAGTTTGGAAATCCAAAGAAAATTCCCATGGTGCCTTTGGGGGACCACTGGCCGTTAATCCTTGTTGATGTTTTAGGGGCCAAAACGGAGCGAGTTGTCATAGAGTGCGGCGAGGAAAAATAACAAAGTCACCCAAGGACTACACTTAAAGATCCTTGGACATGTTTTGCTCCACTATATTTATTTAAGAGGAACTGCATATTTGCAGAAAAACACAACGCTCACTCTAAAATTAGCCTTTAATCCCGCCGCCCACTGTTAGCAATGAAACAAACAGTAGTATTTGCATATAAATAGCAGATTGATGTTTGAGGATAAAATCCATGGATTGTCTCTGCGCCTTCACAAATGACAAAATGCTCTTTATTAAATTTGACATTGGGTTGTTCCAAATTCACTAAAAGCCCAACATTGTATTTCCATTCATATATTGGAGATTTGTCAATAGGCCTGAGCATGGTGATAGTAGAACAGTGACATGCATTCTGCTTCATAGTTTGTGAATTAAATATGACCCTGAATACTTGCATGTGAACACATTGAGCCAGAGGCAGTTTCACATGTGTGTGCATGTGCGTGGAAAAGACTGTGAGGGATAATTATTAACGAAGAGCAAATCCTCTGCACCTCTGCCTCTTTGCACTGCACAGACTACCAGCTATGTGATGTGTCTTATAATTGAAAATAAAGACATGAACTTTCACAAGTTCCTCGAACTGGTTGAGCAGTCAGCTTTGAAGGTGGTGGAAGTTTTTGTGTCCCAAATGATAGGAGGGAGCTACGGATTCTGAGAAGCCCCTTTCAGAAATACTGTTGTATCCATTGCATATTCTTATTTCAATATCTTTCTCAATGTTATATATTTTTTTTAAGTGTTCCTACACACATAGAAACAAGAAGCAGGGATGGTGTAACCATGCTGCAGCTTTATGCTATTTCAACTATGTTTCTGAGACATCCTTGTTTATTATTGTGTTATGGAGGATGGCAAAATCTTACAACATCCGTGAGGTAACTCCACAGCAACTATGTAGATAAAGCCAGTCAGAAGTGTGGATTATAATGTTTTGTCATTGCAATCACAATAAAAAAAAACAAGTAGTTGCTAAACCTTTTCCAGAGTGGCCTAGAATCTGAAAGTGAACTTGTTTTGGCAGCTTATGTTTTCATCTGCAATGTTTGTTCGTCTGTTCGATTGTTAGTTAGCAGGATCACGGAACTACTATTGCACCGATTACCATGAAACTTGTTGGGAGGATGAGGTTTATTACCCACGATGATCAAAACAATTGCAAAACTTTACAGCAGTTTTCCACTTAGAAGTCGGGAGGCGATAACGAATGTATTTATTTGAGCGGTCTGACATTACCTGTCCATGGAGAGCTGAGCGACTAGAGTGATGTCAGTGTTGTCAGAGCTGGGTTCGTACTCATAGTGGAGGAAGTAGAGGTGCGTTCGATGGACGGTGAAGCGCTCTCGGCGAAACTCGTAGCAAGGATCGTCTTCGTCCAGCTCGGACAGAGTCTTCTGGAGCTGCAGAGAGAAAGGAGAGAGACACCAGAAGTGAGGCAGTGTATGGGCCAGAGGGAAGCCCCTGAAGATGCTGTTTGCTGCATCAGCGTTGTGCAGTGCCACCGACTCTCTGCCTGGGTATTCTGCACCATGATCAAAAACACAAAAATCTTCTAAAACAGAAACATCATTCGTTTCACGATAAAAAAAACTGCACCTTGCTTAATGATGTTTTTAAGGAGTTAAGACCTTTTACTACACGTACAAGCTGCCACAGAAGGAAGGTTTGCATGCGGACCCATCACTACCTGCAGACCTGCTCACGTTCCTTGTTTTTGAACAGCTCGAAAGCGACAGTTTAAATCACTGCTCTAAAACTGTGAGATAAAAATGGCTTCATCATAAATCTGACGGCTGATGTGGTGTGAGCACTGGACAAGCAGACTGAGAGTGAGAAATTGACACCGCCCACACACACTCACACTGGGGTAATATTTTAAGTCATAAAGAACCTTGGTCATGACAAAGAAAAAAAATAATGCTGTTGTCTGACCGACAAGTGATTTTTTGCAGGGGCCATAATCTCTTTCTTCTTTTTTTTTTACAACTGCGAAAACATTTTTTTTTCTATATTTTTCTACCTTCCTGCCCTAATGAGTAAGATAAAAAATAAATTTTAGATTTTGGTGTTTTTGTATATTACTCGTTTTGGCCTAAGTCCACTATCTCAGTCTCTCCATGGACTGTTTGCCTGGCGCCACCGCTGCTGCACAAAGAAATATTCACCTGTGTATTAAGTGAAGTTTGGTGAAGCTCCACTCAGTACACAGAACACCACAGGAGAATCCATTGTTATTGTGGCGAACGAGCTGTTGTCATGGTCGACAACGCCAGTTGTGTTGATTAGTCCCAGCAGCTGCTGCTACAGAGCTGTGGCTGCCTGAATTTTCAAAGTTTACGACACAACGCTGCTCTTCCTTGGGCCTTTAAAAATACAGAAACTGTTAGAAAGGTGTATTTTTTGAAAGAGAGGCTTAAGGAAGTCAAGTGAGGTGATGTAAAGAGTGACAAAGAGCTTATACAGAGCCAGCTGTGGTGGTTATATTGGTCACTTTCACTTGGAGAAATCTGGGCTATGAATCACATTTTCCTTTTTGATTTAGTGAATTCCTTATTTCCATGCATTCCTCTTCTTTATTCTTATTTTAAAATGTTTCACCAGGAACTTCTTCCACGTGTGAGGAGCTGAATGCACAATTTGAATCACCTGGTGCACAGAGAGAGTCAGCAACGAGAGACAGCTGAGAGCAATTCAGGATCTGAAACAGTTTCCCGGGTGGAAGTCCTTTAACCACCGTGATCAGTTACCCTGTATACTACTCACCTGACAGAAAGCCTTTTTGGAAAGTACATTCCTTGTTAATAGAAAGACTTGACAGTAATATTACATACAGGGCACAAGAAAACTTCTAATATCCATGTCTACATTACTACTGACTCATGCTGTTGTTTAAGAGTCTGCCATTTCCAGCCAACCGGGAATTGAATTCTAAATAAGTCAATTTTAGGGTGTTAATGATGCGACGCAAATAATATGTGTGTAATGTTTAAATATAACTAAATGCAGTGTTCAGCTCAACTTTCTGATGAGATGTCCGACACCAACAGTGATGCAGGATTGGGAAAGTGATGTGTTAATACAGCAACACATCAACTAATATATTATAGATGTCAGCATTCTGTTCAGGTCTATCAGACTTGATTTTAATTCAAGTGGAGATGAGCTCAGCAGAGCACGGTGCGGCAGCGCTGTGGGGAGAGTTAGACAGAAGTGTTTAAAGGGGCTGTCGGCGGAGGACTCGGTGTGTGGCGTTACTTCGCTTCGAACGGTCTGATTCGCCGAGCCGCAGAGAGTGACGGGGCTGCGGTGGCACTGAGGCCCTGAAGGAGCCCCGATCTGCACTGTGCTGCTGGAGCCAATCCCTCTGTGACTTCATTAGTCTAATAATCACGTTAATGGGATTTAAATCGCTGCTCAAACTCTGAAAAATTGAGTGGGCAAACTATTTCCTGAGTTAAGGACACATTGGAATTGACTGTTGGCAGAAAAAAAAAAAAAAAATGCCTGGCACACCATGATGGAAAATTATAATGTGATTAACTGACCACGGAGCTGACACTTGAATAATTCTACACCCCGTCGAGGCTTGTCCTGTAAAAAACAAACCTGGCCATGTGTGACCTTTAGCAGGTTGGGAGCTGAGGAGGTGCAAAGAATGAACAGCCTGAATGTTAAAACAGAGTCTTTCTCCTAAACCTGTTTCGTAGAGACAAATCACACTACCTGCCTGATCCCTCTCTAGACATTCATGGTGTTCATACTGAGAAGCTCTGTGCCGACATCTCTCCTTAACCCGGATGCATTTGAGCGAACCCCACTGTTGCAGCAGATGTAGGTTGTCAGCGTTACACACGAGCCACCATCTGTTCAGTTCACAGTGACTGACTGACAGCAGTAGGACTGTTGCCGTCTTCGGAACCAGCTGTTCTTTCATCAGGGCAGCTACGGACGAGCTGAAAGGGACAGCAGCCGCACGCGCTTGTCTTCCTTCACCAATGTGGCTGATGCAGAAATTGAATGTTGTTTTTAACCATCAGGAGGAGGCAAGACACTCACCTCGTCTGCTGGACGTTAACAGAAGACGAACTCAAAACAACACAAAGTGCGTCCATTCTTCAGTGTGTTCCAGGCTAACCAAGATTAAATCCTCATATATCTCCATGTGTTAAAATTCCAGACACGACTTACACGATATGAGGATGTGAATGAGAACATAATTCCTCTTATACAGAGGGGACGTCAGCTGAGTAGGGAAGGCAGTCCTTCATTGTGTTCATTTACATAACGTGGCCAGAAACATCACCACGGTTATCAGAACGCTTTCTCAATGCGTCTTTGGGGAGTTCTCAACAGTACTCGCAGCTGTCCACTTGTAAATCACTCAAGATGCATATTAAAGGGAACACATTTTTGCTTGTTCAGTTTTTTCCCCTTTCCTCTAGCGTATATGTTTTCGGTGTGTGTGAAAGTTAAACAAGTCTAAAGTCTGTGATAAAGGGAAAAACACCGCAATGAAGTTCCGGAAACACGTCGTCAGATGTCCAGCCGATACTTGTGGGGCACTGTGATGTCCCTTAACGAAGCCAGCGGAGTGGAGGTCCACATTTCCCACAGGCAACAAGTGTGTCAGCTGGCCAATCGGAGCATACTGGGCTTTATCGGGATGGGGGTCGAAGAGAGAAAGGAGCTAAGTGTTTCCGACAGAGGCTGAAAACAGGAGCTGCAGCAATGGACAGGAAAGTGATGTGGTTTCTAAACTTTAGAGCACATAAACCTTTTAATAACTCAAATTCAAGTTGTGAATATGAGCATATGCAATGCCAGGACACAGTGTGGAGTCAACATCACCTTAAGTACCAGTGCCCAAACTTCCTTTGGCTCGGATGCAGCTGCCTGAATGCTAGTTTCCCACCACCTGTGCTTATCTTCATCGCTAAATACACAACGCAACCAGGACTACAGACGCAGTTCCACCTACGTTCTCACTGTTGTGGTCGGCCTCGCTGGGACAGCCGAACAGCTCTCGCCGCAGCAGGTTCCCATCGTACTCCAGAAAGGTGAGATAGAGGTTGCGGAAAAACTCAACGTGCTTGTTCTTCACCCGCAGCTTCTTGGGGGAGTTCCAGTGGATGACCTGTTGAAGAGGGTTAGGTTTATATCATCATGCTCAGATTTTATTGAACAGCATTTTAAATATTTAAACAGTGTCGGACTAAAGTTTGTACATAAGTACTTTAGTAAACTCTCTAAAAAAACATACATTCAAGAAAATACACTGGACGTATTCTAGGTACTTTCACATACTACAATGATGAGCCAAATCAGTATGACCACCATATGCTGTTGGTCCTTTCTACCTACTGACGCATGGTCTCCTTCAAGTTCTGTAACGCTGCATTCACACCAAATGTGAAGCAAATGTTCACACAACATTTGCACAAATGGCTGAAAACAAAACCAACAAATATTTGCCAGTTCTCCGGAAAAGAGTAGAGGAGAACAACTGGCTAAAGTGACAACAATTGCCAAAAGGACGTGACACGTCTTTGCGTTGTGTGGAATCTCATTGCGCGAATTGGTTGCGCACCATGAGTTGTAAAATGGAGCTGCCAGGGATCGGAGTCGTTCCAGCACATCCCTCTTGTATCCAGTTTGCAGTTTGACCCTCGGTAGGTCCTCACAACTACTGATTGACAGCCCCCTACCTGCCTTCCTTATTTCTGAGATCTTTCAACCCAGTCATTTATGCATTGTCAAAGTCCCACAGGTTTTTTTTTTACACTTGCCCATTTCTCCTGCATCCTACACATTAACTGCTGCAACCAATTGTTGGCAATATTCTGTATCTCAGGCTTTACAAACAGAGGTAATCACCGCTCCTTTCATGTGCGAGTGGTGATTATGTTGTTATCGACATAAACAGATGCTTAAAATTCCTTTCATTGGTTAAACGTTAATTACCACTTAAACTTCTCGCTGTGCTTACACAGAGTGCTTACACCTCAATTGCCCCTGACGCCTGGAAGAACCAGGGTGCCTTTACAAGGTTTACAAAATCCATAAAGTGCTTAAAAGTAGAACCAAATATCAGAGTGTGGGCCTTGAGAATCTGATTAATGCAGGTCAGGTCTTGTATAATCTTGTGAGGATGGATCCACTTCCACAGCACTGTGTCAACACTAGAGATTGGTCTGGATGAACCTTGTATCACTTTGCTATGAGGGAAAAAAAGCTTTAGCCTCCATTCCTTTCTCTGCAAAGAAAACGCCACAAATAAATGGAATAGACATGTTGTGTTGTTTCTGAAAAACACGGCAGAAGCAGGGAAACATGGGAGGAGGACGACGGGCGAATGAAAGGCTTGCACCTGTTGTCTACATCCGGTGAGTCGGGGTTCGGTTTATTATGTCTGAACTGACCGAGCGGATTCACGGTGGGGACGGCAGGGTCTCACCTTCAGGTCTGAAACATCCTTGTAGCACTTCTCGGAGCGCGTGTGATCGGACAGCTGGACGTTCCAGAAGCACGGCAGCTGGTGAACCAGGAACGGGTTCTGTTTGATCACAGCGTTGAAGATGTCCTGCACACACACACAACAGAAACACACAAAACTCACACTGAGCCTCATGCTTTGCCTTATGTTTCATCATCTACAGGCGTGCACCTCGGTTTATTTGATGTGCACATAAAGCTGAATTTGATCTTTCTCAGATTTTTGCAGGAGTTAAAATGAAACCTGTAAAGTAAAACATCGGCGTCAAAATCTGCTTATTTTATTCTTGTGATACGGTACTTTTGAAACATTTCCTTGCTGACATTTTTTGGCAGAGCGCAGAGGACGGTAATGCATATTACATAAGTTCTTTTAGTTTGCTAGTTGATGGCCTACATGGAAGCACACTGGAAGAGCTCCTTTTTCCCTCCAGCCCAAAATATCTTGCTCAGAAGTCGACCTGTTGCACCAAGAAGGAACATTTTGTCTCCGTCTCTATTGTTCTCTGATATTACCGGGTCTTGGAAGAACAACCTGCCACCTAAATCTTCCTCTGGATGTTCCCTAAAGAAACGATCACTGTGTTATCTGACGTTTCAGCTCCTCTGTATAAACAGTATTTGACGACTGAATCCTGCTTCTGGATGATTTGTTGCTCTGTGCTGCACGACCCTGCTGTGCTAATGCTGAGTGAGCAGGAACAGGGAAAGGTTTCTAGTGACGACCCGATTCACTGACAGGAGCAGCGTTCCCTGAGAGCAGAGTGACATGGACGTTTCGTGTGCGAGCCGTATCTTTTCCTCTGACCTCACGCTAGAGGAGAATGACACCTGTAACCATGGCAACTGTAGTCATTTGCAGTCATCCCGTGTCTTCTTTGTGGTGGTTCAGAGTCTCTTTGTGGTCAAGTTAAGTATCTCTGTGGTTGTTGCGCGACTGAGGGCGAAACAACCACTGTGTGTTCATTTTACATCTGCGATTGTGTTCTTCCGTGTTAAGTTTATCACCAGTTCTGTCTCCTCATGGTCACTTTATAACTCTTTTACGACTGTGGTCATTTTTCCTGACTTTGTCCTCATTTTTCTCTCCTTGTTTTCATATATATATAGAATAGTTTGAAGCTATACAATCTACCAGAATTAAAAATATATATTTTATGGGTTTGGCTGCACAGTATGAGATTATACTGTGAGCTTTAAGAGGCCATTAAAATATCTTTTGATGGATGAAAAACGTTGTCATCACCGCTGACATTAGAGGTGAGCGGAATTATCACGCAATTGATGGCTCCAACTATTCTCCCCAGATGTGGGACTGCTGTGAGGCCGGTTTAACAGTACTGACTCTCCCCCTGCGCTGTTGGTGTTTTGTACGTCTCCAGATGTTCGAGGTGTAATTCTTAATTTATGTGCCATCACAACCCGTAAGGCTGCACACTCGAAATAGCTTTGAGTGGCTGTACTTGTGTTACAATGGAGACACATTTCGCCGTTTGAGGTTCTGAAGGTTCACGAGACGCATTCCACTTCCCTAATGGGAGACATAAAACCTCTACAGCCACATAATGAGGGCTGTGATAAAGAGGGATGATTGCGTTGGAAGAGCTCATACAGCAGAAGGAACGCTGAAACCACTTCCACAGCCCGGCTCATTTTCCAAACTGCATACCTTGCAGGACTTTGCTTAATGAAGGTTGAATTAAAATATCATAAATGCACCTGTAATCAAGATGAGCTCTGCAATAATAGAGACCCTTGGCTGAGGTCTCAGCTTATGACCTGTGCTGCACAAGCTAAGATAGCACCTATTAATTACCTATTAGATGATTAGATGTTAGATTTTTTTAATTGATTGAATGAACATTGCTGTAGGTATCTCACAAAACACCAAATATATACGTCCACCAGCAGATACAGATACAATTACTGTAGTATACATATTTTAAAGCCCATCACAGGTATAAAGGTCTTACTATGTCAGTTCACACCTGTCATTAAGGTAGGGCTGTGTCCGAAATCACCCACTCATTCATTATCCCCATTCTTCACTATACAGTGTCTTCTGTTTAGAGCACTATAAAGTCTCTTTGCTGGTAATGACATCACCATCACAGGATTATGATGAACAACAACGACGTCTGCTGGTGAAGTCCAGGTCAAAAAACACGTTGAATGACCACCTTTAAACGTAGAAATAAACTTGTTTGCTGCAGTTTGTGCTGTGATGACCTGCTGTGCTCGTATTTATATTTGCACAACAGGTCATGCTGTTCCTGCTGCCATCTCTCCTCTCGACGCTCTGCTGCAAGCGCAATGCATGATGGTATACATTGCGCACTACAAAGGGAATGGAACATTTAACTAAAACACCCACCATACAGTGGACCATATGGTGAGGGATTTCAGACACAGCCTATGTCTCCACATGTGACCAGTGACCACTTGTGAGCAGATCTCACTTCCTCGCTCTATATGTAAATAAACATCTTTTCTGTCTGCAAAAACCAAATGAAAGAAATAATAATTGGGAGAGTTGTTAACATTTTCAAACATGGCAGAGACCATGGAAGTTCATCTCTTGTTGGATGATAAGTTCATATATTGCAATTTTAGAATACGTCTGAGGATTTTCCAGCAGCCCCATCGTTGCCCTCTGACATTATGTTGTTACAATTACTGTATTACATTACCTGACTGCTAGCTCGCTAAATTGTAAGTATTTGAGGCTTCCAGACAATGACAGTAATGATAACACTAGCATCCACATTTCTGTTGTGTTCTCAAGACCGATTTTGTTATATAATTTATAAACTGTTTTATTTTAGATTAATAAAGACTTTAAATGAAAATATATCTGTGACTCTTGGCTTCCAGCAGAATCCCTTACAATTCAACTGAGAGTAACACCTATGAGAATCTCCCCATTTATGAGGTTTAACTTGACTTTACAAAGATTAATAAACAGCACAGGTCATCTGAGTCTAGCCTGTCTGCCAGAGCAGGCTCTCGTACAGGTGTTGCCGTGATTTGTGCATGTGAGGTGTGAGGATGTTACCTGGTCTGCCAGCGAGGTGGATAGCATGCTCATTAGTTCTCTCTCTGCAGTCAGCCTCCACATCTGCTCCCATCTGAGCTTCCGTAGCCGATCCAGGAGAAGCAAAATCACCCCTGGAAAGCAGGCACATGCATATGTAAACACACACACACACGCAGACAGAGATACGGTAGCTTAAGAAACTGAGAGATTAGTATCTTGCTGCTTGGTAAAGGTGATAAGTTTCCATCATGAGGCTCTGAATCACAGCCTTCTATTTTCTGAGATAAAGCTGTAGACTTTAAGCTTGCAGACAGACTGGCACTGGGTGGAGTAAACATGTTCAAATCCTCCCTGGAAACACAAATTATTCTCAGAGGCTCATGTGCTTTTCACTGCTCGACTCCCCCTCCCCTCCTGCACCTGCCACAAACAGGAACATTCAAAAACAAAATCTTTAAGTTCCTTCGCTGACAAATCTTTTTTCCCCAGATGCCTCAAATAAAATCCAGCAGCCAGTGTTCACAGCAGAGTGACACTGTGAATAATATTTTTAGATCAGACCAAACCAAACTATGTTTCGCGCCCTGCCGTGGCCCCCGCGTGTTGCCACGGTCACCGCCACGAAGCCGACCGGCCGCAGCTGAAATGGAGGTTTTCCTGTCAAATTGCTGTTCTGCCTAAAAGCAACACGTTGCCTTTCTGTTCCTGAGATTTGCTGTTCAGTCACACTCACGGGAGGTTGAAGAGCAGAGCGCTGAACCTTTACAGTACAGTTGTGTCCAGGAGAGCTTTACGCCGCTCCCCCTGAATTTCACAATGCAGTGTTTGTTCTGGGTTATATTCAATATAAAGTTTATCCTCCTGCTCAAAACAGCACAAAGAGAGCTATATGTCTCCTGAAGGGAAAGAGCTGCTGGATTTGATGGAGGGAAAAAATATTTATATATATATAAAAGCAGTGGAAAATAATAGCAACGTGTAATGGAATCCAATCAATTCCACTATCAGCAGCTCTGAGGCTCGGTGAATTATACCCTGCACCTTTCTGAAAATGTGTTTTCATACAATTTTTAACAAGCCTCCTGCACGCCTGCAAATTCCATCAATGACTGTGTCCTGCTTCACCGCTCACTCGCTGTTATTTATTTAAAACATGGAGACGGAGTTCTTTGAGGTAAAAAAACCCCAAAACAAACTAGTTTCCCTAAAATTATCTTGGATGGTGTAACGCAGCAACACAATCACAGCGTGAGCTTAGCCATAATAAAGACATAGGGTATATGAACTGTCACAGTTTTGAGTGGGGAATATGGGTAAAAGTATCAATCAAAGTTTAAGTCATTTTATAGAATCATATATTGTAGAATGATAAGTATTTGTGATAGTCGCTCAAGGAATTGCTTATAGACCCAGTGCTTCTTCAGTATAAACTAGAAATGCACTCAAGAGCTGCACGCTGTCTTTAATATTCAATATGTGCTTCGCTGTTTTTCAAAATTTACAAAACTCTTAAGCCGAGGAGAATGTTACCGTTTGACAAAATGATTAAATTATAACATGACATTTATCCGAGGGCTGCAGGCCAGCTAAAATAAGAACGCATTGATAATGCCACTGTAAAAACAGATTGAAAGACCTGATGAGAATATCAATGTTCTCAGCATATGGTTGGTGTAGCTATTACTATTTTAATTGTATCTGTAAGTATATGTGCTTTCAGTGTAGCATTAGGCTAAAACTTAAATTGACAGTTTTGAAAAAAAATCTATAGCACAGCTCCAGACCCTAACTTCAACCAACCTGCAAAATTGAATCTAATTTGGATTGACGAATTACAGATTACCGATTACAACACACACACACACACACATATATATATATGTGTATATATATATATATATATATATATATTGTACTCCATGTCAGAAATAGACAGTTCATGCATTTAGTTAAAAATATACTGACACAATCAAGTGGGGATTTTGGTTTATAACTACTGATTTCTCATATCATACCTATATTTTTCTGTATATTATTTTTGAATCTGTATTTTATTCATTATTGTTGTAGTTCGTTATCAACATTCTCTACAGATTTGCAGATACACCGTTTTTTCTTCTCAGAAGATTATGAGTTGTTTCACAGTGTTATTTCATAAAGTGTGACAACAAGATATTATTCATTACATCCATAATAATTCATTTGCACACATTTACAAGTGAGTTTCACACTTCAAAGCTGACAGCTGATCTGGTAAAAATAGACCAGATGTGTTACGAATCACAAGAGTGTCTGCACAACAGCTACAACGGCTCCAGCAGCGACGAACACAGACTCTGAACGTCTCTATGCCGGCGCCACGTCATCAAGAACCTACCGGTGTTGAAGCCTCTGCCCAGAGCCGGCCAGGGTCGATGGTTCTTCCACAGGTTCCCCAGGTACCAGTCACTCTGGTTCTCCACCAGACCCAGGACCTGCTGACCTGAAACACAGCAAACCACATCATCACTGCTTGCTCACGTTTTTCTTGCAACTGACACTTTATTCACTCAACTTTCTTTTTCGTTTACCAGATATTTAGATATTAGTCTATACTTATTCATTCTGTAGTCTTGTCTTGTGTCCTTGAGGTTTTGGCTGGTTGCCTTGGTTTTCAAATTTGAATTTTCTTTCAATGCTGCATTAACATGTTTGATATTCAAAGTATTAATTTAAAATGTTTATGTTTGTGTCAGTAGATGAATATCAGCCTTCCAGCCACATTTCCATCAGATCAGGACAAACCATTTCATTTAGGAAGCTGTTTTCTTTCTCCTCTACTTGCACTTGTTAAGCTACTGCCTTTGACATTCACTACTTCATGCAGATGATTGACATTAGCACCGTGTGCACACATCAGTAGGGCAGCAGGAGCAGCTCTGGGGCTCTGTGTGTCTACAAAGAAGCAGTACAGGTACGACGGGTTGGAGATCAGAGCCTGAAGCATCACTATATAAACAAAGGAAAATAATACAAATGTCCTTTGAGCCATTATGTACCCTGTGTGGACAGATGGTTTGATAAAAATAGGAGCGTGTCTGTTCTTACGTCGCGCACGGACGGCCGGCTGAGAAACAAAGCAGAAGAGAAGAAAGCTTAAAGTTTCCTTTGAACCTCATTCTGAGGTGTCAAATGATTCAGCAGACTAAAGCCTGGCTAATGCTTCTGCAGAGGATCAACGCAGAGCCTATGAAAGTGGCCTACACTGTTATGCTTGTGAGCTGGAGTGTCGGTGCTGCTTTGCAGTTACACCGTCAAAAACACAAAGTTACACAAAACACCCCGCTTCAGTTGGAGCGAACAAATGCTCTGAAATCGCTGCAATGCAGAAAAGAGAGAAGGCGTCGGACGACGTGCGTGACCACCGAACCGATGGAGGCAGAACGGAGGGGAATTTTCTGCGCTTGTCCAGCGACTGTGAGACACGGACCAATCACAGCTGGTCTGCATCGCCATGACGCCTGGCTGAATATCATATCATATTATATTCTATGTATATTCTTCGTATATATAAGTCTATATACACATATTTATACATGTGTACATGTTATTA